AGGGTTTAGTGGGAAACGGTTTCGAGTTTAGCTTCTGTTGTTGTCTAGACACCAGCCGGCGCTGCTACTCCAGCGGCTTCGGCCAGGTTTTGGTGATAACCATCAAAAGCACGAAGTACATCACCCGAAAGTGGACCAGGAGATGGGTTGGCTCTTGGACGAGACATCATGGTCGGCTCGATCGGTGCACTAAGGATGTTCTGGGCCGCTGCAGCCGTGGCCGCTGCCTGCGCGGAGAACTGCTGCTTGTGCCTGACAAGAGAACGGTTTTGGAGCTTGCAGAGTGCTGCATTCGGTGTTTGGTGTTTGCAAGCGGGGCACTGAACATTCACAGAGTCCTCAGCAGTCTCTTCAATTGTCACCCAATACTTTGTCTCTTCATGAATTCCCGGAGCGTCCCGGTCCTAGGCACAGGTGACCATCTAAGTTCAGGACAGAATCGATTGCAAAGCATCACGACATTAACATGCCAGGTTGCTTCGATTCCTTGGCGGGTCGAGATGATGTGTTCCACCTTTCGCCTTAGCTAGGTGGGGCCAACTCCATACTAGGCCTTATATTTACAGCAATGAATATCACTACATGCCAATGCAAGCTAGCTGCTTTGAGAAGTTGTATGGGGGAAGGGTCATGTCTTTGACAGCGATAAGTTTCATCTTGCGTCGGCCCTCTTGGTTGCACGTACGCTGTGCAATAATCAGATGCTCGCAATTTGCGAGGTTCTCTCCACTGGAGACCCATCTTTTCAGCAATTCTGCCCGCTCCTGCCATGATTGAAATCCCAATTTAAGAACCAACCGATTAGCACTCAACAGCTTTTTGACAATCTGCTGAAAGCCTTCACAATCCCATTGGCCAGCTGATGCATGGAGGGGTAGGCCGAGAGCTGTCCCGACTCAACGATTCGTTTCTGAGCTGTTTGCAATGCACTCGATCTATAGCTTGCCCGGCAACTGGTAGTCCAACAAGCCAAACCAGAGTACAATGCAAACAAGGTGCCAATCTCATGTACTCCTTCTTGTGTGTGGTCGAATTGATTTTCTGCTCGTCTGAGGCGGGGGCTGCAGCTGCGGATGGGGTGCCACTCGGCACATCTCTGGCAAGCTGAGCTGGCTCGGGGTTGGGCTCCTTTGGCTCCCCTGCTGGCACAGGCTTGAGCTTCTGAATGATTGCATCAAGGCTTCTAGCCGGTGTAGCTACAGGTCTTGAAGCCAGTCCCCCACTGTCCTTGGCATCCTTGCCCTCTTGCAACACCCGCTTAGCAGATTCTTGGTTGCTCATGAGTTCCTCCGATTCAGCCTGCTCCTCTTGGTCTTCATGCTGCCCATACTCCTCTTCCTCACCTTCATTCCATGAATCATCATTCCATTCCTCCCCTTCATATTCCTGCTCAGCCTCCCCTTCATATTCCTGCTCAGCCTCCCCTTCATATTCCTGCTCAGCCTTCCCTTCACCTTCCTTGTCAGCCTTCCCTTCACCTTCCTTGTCAGCCTTCCCTCCACCTTCCTTCTCAGCCCCCGTAGTAGCACTGCCTGGGCTTGGCTTCGGGTTCTCAATCTGAAGCTTCAGGTTGTTCAGAAGCCCTAGCAGGTGGCTGTAGTCCCCATTGGCACCAACTTGCGAAGCTGATGCCCCAAGCCTCGGATCACAAAGCCATCCCCCCTAACGGTGTTAACCCAGAACAGTACAAGATCGACTGGACCCTACACATGACATATTCCTCAACCCAAGGAGCGATTCGATGAGCTCGGTGACAGTCTGGCTTCCATTGACCTGGGTCTCCAACTCTGCTGGATCAGTCGCCGGATTCGTGGCATCCATCTGCTCCTCGCCGAGCGCTAGCGAGGAACAAGACCTGGGCTTTGATAAGATGTAGGGCTCAGTTTTCGGTGGGGTTTGGGGGCTTAAGGTCGGGCTCTTCCAGCGATAGCCAGCAATTTTGGATACAGCTAGCACAAACAAGCCTACTTGCAATCTAGACACCAGCCCTCTGCCAGCAAGTTCGGTTGCGCATCATGGGGCCAATCTTTGGGCCACTTGCTGTCTTTGGTATCTTTGGGGGCACCTTGATTGGGCTCAGACTGCTTGTATCGCTTCCTTCGGGGGCAAGGTGGTTCTGCATCCGCACGATCAATCTCATCGATCATCTCCTGCAAGTCTGCTTGATAGTCCGCCGACCCCTCATCCCCATCGTGTCCTTTGCTTGCAGCCTCTTTGGCTGTGCCCTCCGCCAGATCCTCCTTGGCATGCGATCTGTTGAATGTTTTGCTTTTGGTTCTTTTCTTGCCTCGATTGTTTGTGGATGCCTCCACTGCCTCTTCCTTCTTGCTAGCACGTGCCTCCCCTTCTGGCTCCTTCTCCTCTGGCACTGGTGGTTTGTTCTGTGGCTTCTTCTTCTTCTGACTGCTGTTCTTGGAACTGGCAGGGCTGGATCCCTCCCCTTCTGGCTCCTTCTCCTCTGGTGCTGGTGGTTTGTTCTGCGGCTTCTTTTTCTTCTGCTGCTTGCTGTTCTCGAGTTCGGTGCTGGGTGCCCCTTCCTCCGGTTCCTCATCCTGGTGATCTGGCTCTGGCTTTTTGGCCTTCTTTTTGGGGTTCGAAGCAGGGGTGGGCTCTGGCTCTGGCTTTTTGGCCTTCTTTTTTGGGTTCGAGGCAGGGCTGGAAGGTGCGGGCTCCGACAGACACGGGTCCTCGAAAGAAGAACCTCTTTTGGGTTTTGCCTTCCCTTTTGACACCTTGGGCTCGGAACCTTTTGCATCGGGCTTGCGCTTGCTGCTGGCTTTCTTCACTGCTGTATGACCATGAACATCATCATCATCATCCTGAGGTGGCTCTGCATCCAAACGACTCTTACCCTTCTTGAGGATACCCTTGGGAGGAGAGAGTTCATCATGCTTCGGCTCATGCTTTGGCTTTGAAGCCCCAGGCTTTGCTGGTGGCAGCGACAAGCCGACTTCGTCAGGATCTGTGATGGCTGCATCCTTCCTGAACTTCAGCATGACTTGCACTGCATCGGGAAGGGATAGCTTCTCAGTCTGCATGAGTTCCCCCAGGGTCACATCACAAGTGCCAGGCAGAATAGGCGTAGTCAGATCGTAGGCAGCATTCTTTTGCAAGTTCTTAAGTGCCTTGCCCCTTGCTAAAGAAGCATTGAGCGATGCATTCAGCTTGCGCTGGCTCTCAGCTGCACAATCATCGACCGAGGCCTTCTTCTTCGATGCCGGCTTGCTGGATGCAGGTGCCATGCTGCTGCTGGCAGCACTAGCAGCCAAACTAGCTGTCTCCTAGACTGTGAGTCTGCAAGAGGGACAAGCAGGCACCAATCACGAGACCAAGATCACATGCACATGTGTCAGCAGTACTGTCTCTTGGCATCGAGTGACTATATCGTACATATTGCAACCTCACGCCTTGAAGGTGACCCAAGACCCAGCTACATTGATAGATCGGGGATTCCATCTTCAGTGCCTAGGGAGTAGGAAGAATCTCGAAAATCACGCAAATCACGCCTTTCAGAGGGATTCACGCCCCCAGGTTGTTTTGTCACCAGAGCCACGCTTGGACTGTCCTGCCGTGGCGCTACTGGCTGCATTCCCGAATTTGGCCGAAAAGCTCTAATTTGCCTAAATATCATTAAAAAACCCAAATCACGCAGATCACGCTTTATATCTCCCAAAGAACGCTGGATACCTAGCAAAGAACGCTAAATCACGCGAGGTCGGCCGTACCGAATTAGAAGCCCAAGTGCCCACACAGGGCTTTAAAGTGCCACTTGCAACCCCATGGGACCTGTGCCTGTTGTAGGACTCCTCCATAGCTTAGTCTTTAGTTAGGAGCATTTGGGCCTGCTACGTCCGTTCAAAGCATCTTTGGCGATAGCCGGGAGTTCTTTCAGCCTTTCAGCCATGAACATTGCACCTCCATGATCTCGAACCAGGTGCCTTGGATGCCCAGTATCCCATGTATGTGTCTGCAGAAGAACTGTCATGTATCAGTATAGCCTGGGGGCTTGCGAATCTCCATCATGACATGGTCCTTAAGATGCAGCAGAAGTCCACATGTGCGACCCTACACATTCACATATACTTGACCTAAGGAGGCATAGGTATGCTACATGTTAGGTTAGTGTCAACCAAACAGCCAAGGATCACCGGAAACTCCGCTGCAGATCACTGGCTATCTCCCACGACTACAGCCGAGGACCTGCCTAGACAAAAACACCCACTAAGTGTAAACTCTGTTCCTGACCAGAAGCTAAACCCCAACCCAAGAAGCCGAAGGGCACAACACCATTGTCATGATTGTACATAGCACACCCCCAGCAAACATCATCACTTACCTCAAAAACCCTGCGAGCTGGTGTTCCTGACCTGAATTCATGGGGCTTCCCATAGCTTGTGCAGGCATATAGAATGCTGTCTAGAAGAACAGTATGGTTTAGTTGAATAAGGCCTATTGTTAGGAAGGGTGTCTGGGGGAGGGGATCGCACCATAGCAGCCTTAAGTTGAGCCCACAAAACCACCAAAAAGCCATCGAGCTCCAGCTTGCAGATATAGTCCTAAAGTAGCAAGACGTACCAGCCAACATACCTCTCTAACATAACACAGTACCCTCACTCCTCCATATATGAGTATACTGGTGAATAAAAACAATCGTATCCCTAACTGCAGAACCCAAGTCCAGCAAACAAAGACCTAAATAGATACATATACATGTATACATACATGCACACGCCAGCAGCTTATTAAGCCAGCGGAGGCCTGATGGACACATTGAAAGTTAGTGCCATAGGCTTCAATATTATCGTTCTATAGTTTGTCAATATTATATGTGGTTGCGGCAAAACCAGAACTGTATCAAGAGAACTCCTAAAGTCCCGAAAATGACATCTGAATTCCTGCGTCACAAACAATTTAGTTTTTGCCTAGATTCAGCCATTCTAGAGAATTCCACAAAGGTATGCCGAACTCCCGAAAATCACGAAATTAAGGCTATGTGGGAATTCCCGAAAATCCCGAAAGTCATGTCTTAAATCTCGGAAATCCCGGAGAAATCCCGGCTGCTCCTCTTCTCAATGAACTGAGTAGAAAACTGAAAATCCCGATTATCCCGGGCCTTCTGTTTAAAGTGCTAGGAAATTCTCATTAGTTATTTAAAGCTAATTTATATACAGAATCCAGACCTAGGACTGTCATTAAGTGCAGTTTACTTGATTGTGAATTAATTGGGTAGGGTTTATCGGGCATATTTTTGGGAACCTCAGCTAGACACCCATCCGGATTTGTTCCCAGGCCTGTTAAATTACCAGCAGCCCAGTTCTAGTCTCTGGCAAGTTTCCCAATCGCCCGGGCAAACCATATGTTTGCACCCGGCAACATAGCGAATCACAACGCCCAGCTCTGCCTGCGCAGTGCCAGAGGATGAACGGCCAGGATTGGTCTGATTTCTGCGTGGCTTGGCAATGCATAAGAAGTTCTGCTGTTCGGTCGGGGCAAGCGAGCACATGTCTTGGTTTACTAGATCGTCGTTCTCATGGTGTATTGTGTAGTAGTATAGATATCTGCACAGTACTGTAATGCCAGCCAGCAGCATCTACAAAGAGGTCGGTATCGATCTCGGAGAGGTGTTGCACAAACAGCTCCAAGTCAGATCGCGATAAATCCACAGTCCGTGGGGATTTGGGACCAGGAACGACAACCTCGGCTAGAACAAACTTAATTAAATGTTATCTTTCAGCAGTTGGCTTCTGGCACTGGTCGGCATGGTGCATGTAACAGATTGCAGTCTTCAGCCACATCCTGACGACTGCGGAACAGGTCGACGATGCAATGGGCAAATCTTGGAGTGTACTTCCTCAGTGCTTATAGTGTGGTTCGATAGAAAAGCGCTGGTTTGCAGAGCACACCAACACACACACACATCCACACACACACACATCCACCACTACACCAACCGCCCACACACACACACACATTTTACCCAGCACTACACAACACCGACATGCACACACACACACCCACTCCCACCCACACACACACACACACAGACACACAACACACACACACACAAACACAAACACAAACCCCACACCCAGGCACCCCACCCACACCCACACCAACACCCAGACCCACACCCACACCCAGCCCACCCCACCCCCCCGCCCCGCACACACACACACACACACCGAGACAGACACACACAGACTCACACACACACAGTCAGTTGCAACGAGCTGCTGGCTGTGCTTCAGCAGCTCCTTCTTGCCGGTAAACGTAGGCACTCCAGACTTGTTGATTGATCGCCGAACTAGCCTAGTTGCCATCGCGCTCCGGTCCGTGGCCGATAGAAAACCACCACGGCCCATCAACTCTTCCATGAAGCCCTTATCGTTGCTCCATCCCACATGCCTCTTAGGAGTTGGCCCATCGAAGCACCCCATGTACCAGTGCCCTCGCCAAACCTTAGGTCGATGTCTCTCTAAGAACATGGAAGCAAGA